AAAGCACTCCAGCTGCCTTGGCAAGCTTGGTTGTGAGACGCCCCAGCGGCATCTTGAACCTGTCCACGTAGCGCTCCCTGACGCGCGACGTGAACTGAGAAGGCTTGTCGATGAACTCCAGTTGCTGAGCCAGCCTAGCTTGCGCCTTCTCCTGCTGGGTCATGCCCTTCGGGAAGCCCACCTTGGCCACCCTTGTGCTTGAGCGGCGCACCACCTCAGCAGGCGGTGGTGTGGGGATGAAGAGGGTGTCTGCTTCCATAGCAGGCGGGTCGGTGTTGAACTTGAACAGCGGTGGCCTCATGATGGATGGGGGGGGGAGCATGCCGAAGACTTGGTTGAGGAAAGTAGTGTTGGCGTCCACCTCCGGCGCCTACAGCTTGGAAGCCAGCCGATCAGCGTCGATCTCTGGCTCTGGATGGAATGAGTCTCGGCACTCTAGAGTGCCAGAACGCAGAGGGAGGAGCGGCAGTTCAGGCTGCGCCGACCCCGCGTCCATGTATCCTGCATTGGGCCAAGGCTGCAGGGGGCAAGCCACCGGGCTGGGGGCGTGAGGTGGACTGCGCGCCGGAGGAAGGCCAAGCTCAACCTCAGAGAGGTTCGCCCCAAACCAGGGCGGCAAGCTGAGGTCCACGAAGGGCCAGACCGCCTCGTCCGCCCCGAAACTGTCCAGGACAAACGGCGGACGACGGAAGGCCGTGTCGTCGAGCTCGAGCAGCAGAGAGTCGGTGCGAGTGATGTCTTGCCAAATGGACTCCACCTCCAGCAGGAAGGGGGATTGGTCCACCATCCCTGGCCAGGCCATCGGCACGCCAAGGATGGCCTCAGCAGCGTTTGCACCAGGAGGAGCAGCCACACCTTGGAGGACAGGGAGGGTGCGGGCATCAACAGCAGCGAAAGGTTGTTGGAGCAGGTTGCCGTCGCGCTCTGGCCTCGGCGAGCGTGAGCGGCTGTAGGAGCGCTCGGAGCCCTCGGATTCAGAGAGAGCGTCAGTGAGAGAGCTATGGCGACTTCGGCCACCACCGGACGTGCCACGACGCTGGTCCTGACCGCGCCTGGATGGCCCATCCTCGCGGGCAGCTCCACCTGAGCGGCACCCGAGGAGCGCACCCCACCAAGCTGGCCCGGGGCGGCTGCGGCGACGGCGGCGGCCTCGGTCACGGTCTGCACCATCATCTTCATCTTCATCATCGCGGCGCCTCGGACGAGGATGCTCGCTGTCGCCGACACAAGGGACGCGAGCCAGTTCAGCCCGCCCGTCCTCGACATGGCGAGCCCAGCGGAAGTGCTCCTCAAGTGGCCATTGAGGGTCATTGGCGCGCGGCATCGCGGGGTCGCGATCAGCTATCGGGGTGTAGTCCTTCGTGGTGTCGAGGTGGATGAGCAGAGAGAAATCTGGCCCCTCGAGCCCCTCGTCCCGAGGGCAGCCCTCCGGCAGCGTCTGGCGGCCCCTAGGGTCCAGGGGGCGGTCGAGGATGGAGAACCCCCTTTTGGTGGGGATGTCGTCCGGACTCCATGCCCACACCCAAGCAAAGAGGCAGGCCGTGTTGGAGAGGGAGGTCGTCTGCCGCTCCAGCCGATCAACGTGGCACGCCCTCCCCAGCGCATCCTGCAGCACCTCCTTGTTCCAGGACTGCACCGGCATGTTCTCGACGGCGATGCGGCAGTAGTACCGCCAGACACGGCGGTGGCCGTGCGCCGACGGTGACCAGGCCGACAGGGAGAGCGCAACGCCCCGGCAGGAGACGACCCCAGCGTCGAAAGCAATGTCCCGGTGCCTGACGTGGGCGAAACGGATCATGAAGTGCTCGGGGTGGTGCCTGGACACATGGAATTCGTTGCACGAGATGGTGAGGTCGCGCTCGATCGCCTTGGCCACGAGCTGCGGGGTGATGTCCAGTCGAGGCTCGGACATGGTCACCAGCAGCGCAGACGCGCGGAAAGCCCTCGCCACCGACTCCATGGCGGGGGTGCAGATCGTGAAAGAGCTGCCACCCGATGGCCGGCGGGAGGCGTCACCAGGACGGGTTGCCATGGCAGCGGGTGGATGACGGGACTGGCGTGGCGGGGTGGGGG